GAATAGCATTAGAAGGTCTCTGAACAGCAAAACAATATTTTTGGAAAGATTCTGAGGTCTTCGAAATATCATTGGAAGGTCAATAATATGTGCTGAATTGTATTTTGATGGCTATATCATTCGGAATAGCATCTGCAAATGACCAGAGGCACCTCCTAATAATGTCAGAAGACATTAAATGTGCGCTTGATAGCATTAGAAGGCCTCTGAACAGCAAAAATATTTTTGGAAACCTCTAAGATCTTCAGAATGTCAACGAAATTAGTGGGAGGTTTTAAAATTTGTATTGAAAAGATACTCGAGGTCTACCAAATATCATGTTCGGAGATAGTAATGGCATTAAAGGTCTCTAAGAACTAATAAAAGTACTTTTATTGAATATCAGTAGGCCTCAAATTTTTTTCGTAAATTGTATATGAATGATTTTATGGTGTTCAGAATTGTATTGAAGCCTTCGTTATTTTTTTTTCATTACTTCAGGATTCTTCGAAATCTTCTGAATTGCCTTTGGCTTCTCATAAGTAAGGGGGCTACTAAATATCATCAAAGGTACTAAATATCATCAAAGACCTCTTGGAAGTATACCAGAAATTTCTCAGATCATTCCTGATGTTATTCAGCACAAGTTAGAAATAAATTCAGCTGAATAGCATCAGAGTGACTCCAAAGTTGTCTGAACTGCAAAAAAAAAACGACATTGGGAAGCCGTTGAGGTCTTCTGAAAGAAATCTGAATGTTCTGAATACCATTATACGAATGTAAAATTGTGCTGAATAGCATCCCTGAGGTGTTTTCTTTAGGAAGAAAAATACTTCCCACGCCTTCTTTTGGCTGTAGTCAGCAGAAATATTTCCTAAAGCATCATAATTAATTGAATTTCTAATTTAATAATAAATAAAATTAAAAAAAATATTTTTTTTTCTGTACCCAATTTTCTTTAAGACCACCCTAATATTTCCTCCATTCCACACCATTACAACAATTAATGCATTACAACTCTATTTAATGTAATTTAATAACTAATCACATCATGCCTATGAAGAAAATCACGGTCATTACCATGAGAGTAATCACAAACAAAAACAAAGCTGCAGCAACAACAACAACATAAAAAACAACAAAATACTTGCAATTAAATACCTATGTGTTTTAAAAACATAGACGACAGCGAGACAACAACAACAATTAGACACATTAACAGCAGAAGCATCATCATCAACGAGTAATGAGAGTGTATGTGTGCTACGTCACGGTTATTGAAGGTATTTGCATTGGGGGGAGTTGAGCATGATACAACAGAGAGTGGGTGGCTGGGTGATGGCAGTGTTAGTTGAAATGATGAAAGAATACCACAAAGAAGATAACCATCATTAGTTAGGCACTCTACGAGGTTACGGTATTTGCATGGGAGGGAGGTAAGCAATAACAACTGAGTGGGTGATGAGAGAGAGCGAGTACCGTAAAAGAGACTACCATTTATTAAATGTGTTATGTTATGCCTAAAACTAACACACCACATATATCCTGCTGCTGATAATTAATTAATGGTTGACTTAAGATAAATAATTAATTTAATGAGATCAAGATCATCTTCACCATAATCTATCTCTCTCTAGCAAGCAAACATCGTATGGTTGGTGGAACACACATGAGAATGTCATTTAACAAAACAATTGGTTCTCCGCACCTAACTTTTTTGGTGTTTAGCGTTTCAAATGCATTCAAGTGTTGAAAACAAAACAAAAGGTATGAGAAATAAAGAAAAAAATAATTGAAAATTAAAAGTAAATTACATTTTAAACAAAAGGAAAACTATTAAGACATTTTTTCTAACATCAAAAAAAAAAAAAAAAAAGAAGAAGAAGGAAAAATATGGAAAATTTTTGTAACACACTAAATGTGTTTTAGAGATTGAGGGTGTGTGCTGTGAGTGCATATGTGTCAAAAGGAGGGGAATATAACGAATTGACTTGTGGTGCAACAAGTAACACAGTAGGAGGTCACTTGACTTATGGCCCCAGAACAAACAAAAATTGAAACAGAACGATGGAAATTAAACAGTTTCTCTAAAGAAAAGAAAATTTTGGAAAAAACAGACACAGATAAAGGCACACATATTTTAATAATCCATAAAAAATTTTAATACGGCTAAATATATGAAGCAGAAAATAAGGCAAGAGGTGGAGAAAATTTTTCCATTCCCGGAAAAAATACTTTTTGCACTTAAAAACAAATTTTCCACATGATAAATTTTTCCTAGGTAGGAAATATTTTTCAGATTGCGGATTTCCTTCATTTGTTTAGTTAAACAAAAAATAAATACATATCGAATTTTCAAAAAATAAACAAAACTTAAATTATCGAGAGATTTTTTTTTCAATTTGAAAAACATTTTGACTAAAAATAGTCAATGAGTCTTTTTCTAATGAACTCAATTTTTTTAGAATGTGTTTTTGTATGTAAATGGCAATTGCGGGTATCTAATTTGGATTAATGACCCCATTGTGGGTAATCTGCTTAATGTTATAATGTCAAGTGGATTTTTTGGAGATGTTATTTTGATATTTTTTAAATATTTGTTTTATCAGAGGCCATTTGAAGTGTGTATTTTTGGGGATTTTCCAAAATAATTGAAATAAAAATAGATTATTTTTTTTGTGGATAATTTAAAACACGCTCTATTTATGAGCAAAGAAGTTCTCTAAAGAGAGAGGAAGGTTCGAAAGAGTAAGAGAATTAACTTGAGGTCTTCTGAAGTGAATATCAGCAGGCCATTGACATGTGAAGTCTCAGAAGTCGTCTAAATAGCACCAGGGAAGCTTTTCAGGCCTTCCGAATGAATCCACACCTATTTGGATAGGTAAAATTATTACTTCGAGGTTTTATAATGAACATCAGCTAACGTTTGAATTTATTTTAGGCCTTTTAATGAATATCTGGAGGACATTGATGTTCTCTAAATTATATGAGAGGTATATGAAGTCTGCTGAATAGTACCAGGGAGGTTCTGAGGCCTTCCGAATAACTCCACAGCTACTCGGATAGGTAAAATTATTACTTCGAGGTTTTATAATAAACATCAGTTGACGTTTGACATCCTCTTAATCAAGAGGAGAAGTTATCTGAGGCCTTCTAATGAATATCAGCAGGGCATTGACGCTCTTTAAATTATATGAGAGATATATGAAGTCTGCTGAGTAGTACCAGGGAGGTTCTCAGGCCTTCCGAATGAATCCACAGCTATTCGGATAGGTAAAATTATTACTTCGAGGTTTTAAAATGAATATCAGTTGACGTTTACATCCTCTTAATCAGAGGAGAACATAATTGAGGTCTTCTAATGAATATCTGGAGTACATTAATGTTCTCTAAATTATATGAGGGGTATATGAAGTCTACTGAATAGTACCAGGGATAACCTCAGGCCTTCTGACTGGATCCACTAAGCCTCTGTTACTCGAATAATTTCTTCGAGCTATTCTAATGGATATCAGAATACCTTTAACATCCTCTAAATCACATCAGGGGTCTTTAAAGTCTTCTGAAATTGTACCAGAGAAATTCTCAAACATGTCGAATATATCTCAGTTCGGATAAATGGCAGCAAGACGGCCTCTTAGAGGTTGTAAAGTTATCTAAATCCTTCTAATGAATATCAGGAGGACTATAAAGTGCTCAGAATAGTACCAGGTAGGTTCTCAGGCCTTCCGAATGAATCTACTAAGCCACTGCCTTTTTAGCCAAATAACATAAATTCGTCTATGCTTACTAATGTTCGTACAAATAATAGTAGTATCATTTAGACCCCAATGTGTGCTGATATTCAGATAATTAATAAAAGTACTTCGAGAAAAGTCCACTGAATTATGTCAATAGGGCTCTCAGTCCTTCTGAGTCCATCAGAGCTCTTGAAAATAACATAAAGTAGCGTCAGAGTGCCAAAATATAATCAAAGGTCGTATAAATTCGATAATTTCTTTAGGGAAACATCGAAGAGGATGCTGAATCGAATGCCTCGAATATTCCCAGAGGTAATAAACATGTTCTGAGACCTTCTAATGAATCTCAACAGACCTAAAAAGTCCACTGAATTGTGTCAATAGGGCTCTGAGTCCTTCTGGGGACCATCAGAGCTCTTGAAAAGAATTATAAAATAGCCTCAGAGTGCTAAAATATAATCAATGGTCGAATAAATTCGATAACTTCTTGAGGAAAATCTCCTGAATTGCATAAGGGAAGTCTTCGATGCCCGCCTGAATTGCATCTGACTTCATAAAAATATTATCGGATAACCTAAGAGAGTGCTGAATGTTTCACAGATGTTCAAAGGTCTCTAGGATGTTCGAAGCCTTCCTGAATTGCATCGGACTTCATAAAAATCTTATCGAATAACCCCGAAGAGAGTGCGTAATATTTCACAGATGTTCAAAGGTCTGTAGAATGTTCGCATCTTTCTAGAGACCTTTATTTTATTTTATTTTTTTCATTTATTTAATGTATTATTTTTTGGAATTTTTTATTTAATTTATTTTTTTGATATATAAATATTTATTTTTAATCTTTTTTTTTTTTTTTGTTTTTGCAAAAAAAAATCTTTTTAATTTGTTTTTTTAAAAAAAATATATATCATTTTTTATATTAAAATTATTTTTAATTGAATATTTTTACATTAATTTTATTATTTCCTATTTTTCCCACTGTCCAAAAATTTCATAAAAAATAAAAAAAATCTAACCCCAATCATTCACCTTATTAAATTATTTTCATCCCTGTGCCATAGATTGCACACCACTGCAATTTCAAAATGTCCTTGTCCATTATTGTGTTTTGTTCTGTCCATCGGTGATGGTTATTTGCATGTTGTGAATTTGCGCCGTTTATGAGCAACTTGTTGCATGGCCGGTCATGTCATGTAAAAACACAACACTCACACAATGAGAGTAAACAACGAAAAAAACCGCAAAAAAGAATTTTGCAAGAAATTATGAAAAAACACTTACCAATTCCGAAGACATGTTTGGGACTGCTCGTAGTCCAGACAGTCATTTTGACGGTTGTGATGATGGCAGCAGTTTGAAAAAAGTTTTTCCACAATTCTCGGCAGAAATTTAAAATTTGTTATTGTTTTTTGCTTTTTTATTAAAAAAAGAACAAAGTTCAGGTAGCTTCAAAGCAACTACGATTATTGAATTGTTTTTATCACACGAACACACATACACACACTTATGTACATTCTTGTATAAAAAATGACAAATCTTAACGAATCACTTCACTAGGTCAGACGGCATTCTTGTTTTGTTTTGAGACAGATATTCGTTAAAGTATTCCATTATTTTTGGGTTGTTGTTGGTGTTTGCTGATTTCACTTTACTAAATTCATAGTTGTTGGTGTTGTTGATGTTTGTTACAGTTGTCTGGTTATTGTTGTTTATTATTGGATGAGTCTTGCAACTCGTTGGCAATATTTTTTTCAGCTGGCATTTGACAGATACAAAATTTCGTTGATGATGAAGATCACAAAACAAATTTGAATATTAATGCTGTCACATTTAGCAGAAAACGAAGATACATTTCACTTTTCTTGACATTCTATGCCACACAAAGATCTTTTTTTATTCACCAAAAAATATAGACAAAAAACTATTCTCTTTTTTATTTTATTTCAATTAAATTTATTATTGCGTTTTTTCACATAATTTTCGCTTTTTTTATTTAATTTAATTGGGGAGTTGGCTGGCTCGGTCACATACATTTACACAGTAGAGCAGCAGCGGCAACAATAACAAAAAAAAAACAATAAAGAAAACAAACACACAAAATAACCCAATGTAAACACAAATGGGCCTATCACTGCGTCAACGTTGATGTCTCAGTCGTGGTCGACAACGACGTCGTATTCTTCTTCGTCTTTGCCGTCGTTGTTGTTGTTATTGTTAAATTAATCTTCACAAAAAAGTCATATCTCATTTCTTCTTTCTCACGTAATTCGTCATTTACTATTATTGTTGTTGTTGCTGCTGTTGACGATCGGCATTGATGGTTGGTCGCTGTTGTTGTGGTGGTGGTAGTGTTGTTGTTTTTTGATTATTGTTGATTGTATGACAAATAACTTTTATTTTTAAATTCTTCTTAATATTTTTCAAGTAAATGCATTTATTTTATATTTTTTATAAAAATTATTCTATTGCATTTATTTTTATTATGTTTAAATTGACATTTATTAACACATTTCACATTTATATTTTACTATTATCATCGTCGTTGTCGTCGCTAATAGCATTTTATTAATGTTTTATGTAATAATTCTCATTTTGTAATTGTGTTTTTTAATGGTAATATAAAATTGTTGCCACAGTAATTAATCAATGTTTACAACAGATGGCGCTTTGTCACAAATTATTTAAGGCGTATTTATATTATCAAATTTACTCGCCCAATTTAATAAGGTAGCCGCATTAGAACAATTACTTCTCAATAAAATTTTATAATTTGCAAAAAAGAAAAAAAACCCGATTTTTAAATAAAAAACTCGGAATTTTGAGAATCTTCTTTGGCAATGAATTTATTTACATTTCCTAAAGAAATTTGAATAACAACATGATTCCTTTTTTTTGCTAAATTAAATTCCCGTTTAAATGCTCTACTTTATAAGGTCGGAAATGAATGTTTCAATGTTTAGAGTTACAAAGGGGATGATAAAATTGATATAACATGGTGGAATTAAGGAAGATTGCCGATCTCTGATCGGGGTAATTTTCTAAATCAAACTGATTGCGTAGGTTTCAGAAAAATAACCAATCAGAGCTTCATCACTCAGATTATCGGTTGCCTGCGTTGAATTTCTGGGACATAATTATTGCTGCAACTACTCACTTCATACCTGCTGGAGAAATACCCAAAGTGCTACTTAACTTCCTAGCAGAGGAGACAATACTTGTGAATGACCCAAGACTAGGTCAACAGGTTATTTGCGAAAAAATTAAATGTAGTAACAACGGCATTGTCGGGAGCTATTTGGGCGCTGGCAATGTATTTTGACATCCCACAAAGTAAAGCGGTGTACAGGTGTGGTTTGCGAATGTAAGCAATACGAAGCAGACTATTTTTCAAACCTGCCAGAATGTTGTACTGAGAGTTGTGATAGTGTGCTCGGCATGACACTGATGTACCAATTACAAGAGAAGACGAAAATCGACAGAACAAGATGTTGTCGATGCTGCACCTGCTTCATGGATTGTAAGTGTATATAGGCAATTTTCAAGGCTACCGGAATCCTTCCCTGGATACTGTGACGGAGAACTTTCTTATGACACCAGCCGACCTTTTAAATGAAGTGGAGAAAATCTGCTTGGGTACTTGAGTCTCCGGAATCATCCATGTCATTACCTCCCAGAGACTGCGACAAGGTGGCTCATTTTGACACCAGGGGTATCTCCTTATGACCTCAGTATGTTTTACGAATGTAGCGTAAGCGTTTCTCAATTCTACCAGAATCCCTTCCTGAAATCTGCGACAGTATACCTGCTTATGATACCAGTCGGTCATTTGCACTCATTCAGGCGAAAATATACTTGGGTGCTATTGCTGGATTCATTCATGCAATTATCTCCCTGAGAACTGCGACAGTGTGGTTTGCGAATGTAACCCTCTCTGACAACTGAGGCAGGGTACGTACCTCCTTATTACTGTTCCATTTTTTGATTTTGGCCAACAGTCGATGTTTAGACTTTTCGATTTATGCTTTGACTATTCGATTTTCAATCTTTCGATTTTGTCAAACCTATTCAAAATCGATTTTCGACCATTACCAACCGATGCAAAATCGACTAAAATCAACAAAAATGACTTAATCCGTATTATTAAATAAAAATCTAATTATTTATTTTAAAATAAATTAATTAAAAAACTCCCTTTATTGGAGAACCCTATTATATTGCTGGTTTGGCAACAATTTTCTGTAGTAATTAGTTCACTAATTACGATACTTTATACACTAATCGAAAAAGCTATTGCCTATACGTTCACGTTACGTATACGTTACCGACTAACTTTCAAAACACATTGTATGGCAATCATCTCAGTTGTAGATTTGTTAAATTTGTAAAGTGACGCTTTTCCAACACCGTGTTTTAAGATTGCGGAATTTTTGTGCAAGAAAAATATACAACAACGAGTTGGTGGCGTAGAGACAAGTGCTGGGCATATTCTGTGCAAAGGATTTGACATATCCATAGTGGCAAATAGTTGTCTGGGCAATTTCACAACAACAACCAGATTATGATTTGCCTGCATTAAAACATTTTGTGAAATTTAGAAAGAAAAAAAGTTGCATTATCAGTCGGTACGACGACGACGAGAGGGAGACGAGCACGCTTTCTGGTTGTTACGAGCGCGCCAAAAAAATAAACAAAGAAACTAAAATAAACACACAAAAGGAAATTAATAAATTAGCTAGTGCATAGAAAAAGTGAATATGTTTGGTGGAGCAAAACCCACATTTGGCTCGACAGCCCCCACCACAGGTTTTGGCGGTTTCAATAATACGGCGACCTCATCACCGTTCGGCCAATCGGCTTTCGGCAAACCGGCTACAAGTGCATTTGGAGCAGCACCCACCTTTGGAACGCAACAAACCCAGCCATCGATGTTTGGTTCCACAGCAACACAGCCGCAAACGACGGGTTTGTTTGGTGGGGCCAGTACCTCGACGGCATTTGGGGCTACCACTACTACGCAGCCGGCTTTTGGGTGTAAGTAAAAAAATAATTAACGCTTTTTTGCAGTTTTTTAATTGTATCCTCCTTTTAGCCTTTGCCCAACCCCAACAAAACACAACACTCTTCGGCTCGGCCCAGCCGCAAGCAAACTCAACATCCTTGTTTGGCCAACCGGCTGCCACATCGGCCTTTGGTGCCGCCGTGAAACCCGGTGGATTGGGTGGCTTCGGACAAACAGCAACCCAACCCACCACCTCTTTGTTTGGCCAACCTGCTGCATCTACAAGTGCCAGCGGCTTTAGTACCTTTGGTCAAGCTGCTCCCACCACAACTAGCGTTTTCGGCAGTTCCACAACATCGGCCTTTGGTCAACCGGCCAATGCTGCTGCAGCCGCCAATCCCGGTACCTCCATTGCTAAATATGTACCAACAATCGGCACCGACACTTTGATGAAGGGAGGTCAACCCAACAATGTCAACACCAAGCAACATTGCATCACCGCCATGAAGGAATACGAAGGCAAATCATTGGAGGAGTTACGTATGGAAGATTATTTGGCCAATCGTAAGGGGCCGCAGAGTGGTACAACCACCGGTTTCGGGTTTGGAGCGGCTGCACAGCCTACCACGGGAACTGGTTTGTTTGGTTCAACAAACCAACCATCGACTGGACTCTTTGGTCAACCAGCGGCGGGAACCACTGAAAACAAAGGTCTCTTTGGAAGCACTACAAGTGCTTTTGGGCAACAACCCACCACAGGATTTGGTGCCACAGCCACACAACCTTTTGGCGCTAAGCCATTTGGTGCCACAACAACTACGGGATTTGGTGCCACCGCCACTGACAACTCAAATCCATTTGGAGCCAAGCCGGCATTTGGCCAAACAACTCAACCATCGATGTTCGGGCAAACCCCTGCCACAAGTACAGCACCGGCTTTTGGCCAAACCACCACCGGATTTGGTTCAGCATTTGGCCAAAACACAGCTCAACAACAACCATCTCTGTTCGGCCAGCAGCAGGCCAATGATCCCAATAAACCCGCCTTTGGTTTGGGTGGTGTCTCAACAGCCAATACCGGGTTTGGAGGTTTTGGTAACACGGCCACCAGCACTGCTAGTGGTGGTCTGTTTGGTGCCAAACCTGCAACTGGTTTTGGTGCCGCCCCCGCTTTTGGACAAACATCTACCGCCTCCACCGGTTTTGGCAATTTCTCTTTGCAGAACACAAACACCACGGGGGGTGGCCTATTTGGCAATACCACCCTAAATAAACCCGCCACCTCAGGGTTTGGGGCTTTCGGCACACAAACCTCTACAGCAGCACCATTGAATTTTAATTCCGGCACTGGAGGAACATCGCTTTTTGGCAACACGGCTGCCAAGCCTGGAGGTATGTTTGGTACCACACTGGGCGGCACACAAAATACCACCGGTGGTGGACTCTTCGGCACTACAGGCACGTCAGCATTTGGCACCAACAACTCTACCTTGGGTGGGGGTTTTGGTACCACATTGGGTGGATCTCTGAGTACAATGGGTGGTTTGCCGGGAACACCTCAACAACAACAGCAGGTGCCAATTCATCAACAGATTTTGTCTAAAGTCACCTCACCCTATGGCGATAATCCGATTTTCAAAGATCTAAAGAGAAATGAAGAAAACGACCCAACCAAGGCCACCAATCCGGCAGCACAAAAGGCCATCTTGGAAAGTGGTAATGTAAGCAATCAATTTAAGGTTACCACCAAGTCGTCACCCAGTGTGGTGCGTGTCAAACCAATTGGTTCATCGCTGACCAAGAAGTCGTTGTTTGAAGGCTTAGAGGAGTTCGATGCCAGTGTGGAAAGTTTCAGTTTGAAACCCAATGCCAAGCGTTTGATACTGAAACCGAAAAATAATCAGTCATTGGGTGGTGGTGGTACCCAGACACCGCCTGTGAGCCAACAAAATACACCACAACGTCAAGCTCCTGGTAGTGGTGCTGATGTACGCAATGATTCATTTTCCGGAGAGATACCAACAGAGCCACCATCAAGGGATACAGCTGTGACATCTAGTGGTGGCCTAGGTACGGGTGGTAGAGGTACCCCTCTAAGCAGTGGAACTCCCACAACTAGCATTAATACTGGAGGTGGTGGTGCTCTGGATTCCAGTCGCCGTGAGTCATGGTTGCATCCCAACAACTTGGAAAAGGTGCGTCAGCATAATTTAAATGCTGGCTTTGAGCCGGTCTCTTCCCATAATAGCACATTAACGGAATTGGTGCCACGTAAACCATTGGAAACATTTAGCGGACGGATGTCTGTCTCTACCGTGCAAGAAAATCCATTTGAAGATCAACCCTCGAGATTGGAAGGTATGTCGTCTGTGACTGCAGCAGGTGGTGCCGGAGGGGCAAATGAAAGTATTATATCCAGTCGTTCGTATAGCGGCGAAGATAAATCAATTTTGGTGGAAGACAATCAGGCAGAATATGAAGAACATCCCACTGGCATAACCTTGAAAAGGGTTGGGTAAGTTTCCATTTCATTTTGTGGAGAATTGAAATCTCTAACTATGTTTCTTTTGCGTTCCAGTTATTACACCATACCCTCCTTGGATGATTTGAAATCCTATTTGGCCGAGGATGGCTCTTGTGTGGTACCCAATTTCACGGTGGGCCGTGAAGGTTATGGCAATGTATATTTTGGCAAAGAAATGGATGTGGCCGGCCTAAATCTTGATGAAATTGTACATTTCCGTAACAAGGAGATTATCATATATCCCGATGATGATAATAAACCACCAATTGGTCAGGGATTGAATCGTGAGGCCCAAGTAACATTGGATCAAGTCTGGCCATTGGATAAAAGTATTCACGAACCTATTAAGGATCCTCAACGTTTGGCAGAAATGGATTGGGAGGCCAAGTTGCGACGTGTATGCGATAAGAATGATACCCGTTTTATAGAATATCGTCCTGAAACCGGCAGCTGGGTATTTCGTGTGAAACATTTCTCTAAATATGGTCTGAATGATAGTGATGAGGAGGATGAATTGCCAACTGATCCGAAAAAGGCAAAAATGGGAGCAACTGCATTGGATGCAGCTAAACAACAAGCTGCAGCTGGTGGCGTGGCGGGTGCTGTGGGTCAAGATAAAATGACTTTGGCTGCTTTGAAAAATGCCCAGAAGGTATGTAGAAAAATGGAGCTGGATTTTGTATTTTTCTATTATTAATTTCATTTCCTCATAGATCTCTGAAGATGCTGCCCGCTCTTTGGATCCCAAATCTTTGACAAATGTCGGTTTTTATCCCATGGATGAATCTGCGGAATTTATGCTAATGGATAAAACACGTAGGTCTTTAAATACTTGTTTGGGATACTGTTACAAATATTTAATTTTGTTTTTTTTATTTTTTAGAATATTTTCAAAACAACGGCAACGACTTCTCCATGTTTGATTATCCCCAACAAAACTATAAACAGGGCTTAACTAGTCCCACAACAACATTGGCCAGGGATATGGGTACCGATTCCCACAAGTTACAATTGATGAAGGCCTCATTTTTTATTGAAGATGATAATAAATCAGGTATGACCACATTCACAATTTATATTACAGATTTTCAAATTAATTTTTCAAAATCTGTTCTTTACAGAAACCTCGGAATTTGGTTTGCAACGGGATTACAATCGTAATATGTCCACCGCGGGTGGTGGCCTATTTGGTCGCCACATTCAAGATATGTATGACTCATCCCAATCATTGTGGAAAGATGGCCCTGGATTGGGTGGCCACCTGTCTGAGACCTCAAGTCAGGCTGATTTTGGTAATGTTTTGGCATCACCACCAGCTCCAGCATCATCGGCTGGCTCCTTAATAAGTGTTGCAAAATCAAAAGATGCGGTAGGTTTAATAATAAAGATTTTTGGTTTTATATCTAATTTATTATTTCAATTTTTTTAGCATAAAACAATTGCAACCGATTCGGAAACCGCTGTGGAACAAGTTGTAACCAAAATGCCACCATTTTTGGTTAGACCCAAGGTGGCAATGATTAAAAGTTTGGCAGCCCATGTCCCGTTGAGTAAATCTATTTCATATCCTCTTCGCTTTAAATGGCCTGCAGATTTGGGTCTCTATAATGGAAGAAAATTCAAAATGGGCTTTGGTCCACAAAACACTTTAATTGTGCCGACAACAAGGAATAATTTGAATCGGGAAATTAAGTGTAAGTAGATTTTTTATATTAAAATATTAAATAATAGTAATTAATTAAAATGAATTAATTAAAATTAATTTATTATTTATTAAAATTATTTAATTAATTACATTTTTATTTAATTTCTTAATTAAATACTTACCTACTTAGCTGGTTGTTCCATAAGCCGAGCTTAAAAAAGATTTCCAAGCGCATCGGTCTTGTGCGCAACTCCTCCAATTTAAAAGACCACGTTCCAAGATGTTGTTTTGTACTCGGTCTTTCCACCTAAATCGTGGTCTTCCCCTTCTACGGGAACCATCAGTAGGCCTTTTGAGCTGGGACATTCTCATTCATTCGCACAACATGGCCAAGCCATCGTAGTCCCTGCAGCTCAATACGACTGACTATTTCGACATCCGCATATCAATTGTAAAGCTCGTGGTTCATTCGACGCTGATATTCACCGTCTACTGGACATCTTGCGCGTTGATACCATCAGCTTGATCTTCTCGCTGTTCAAGGTGGTCTTCAATTTGTTCAAAGGTGGCTGTTACCGCTCGCAATGTTCGACCCATTATATCGATGTCATCGGCGTAGGCGAGTAACATGTTTTGTGTGGTGTACAGAGTGTCATTTCTGTTCACCTTTGCGTCTCCCATGACCTTTTCCAGCAGGATGTTAAAAAGATCACACGACAAACTGTCACCTAGTCTGAATCCTCTTTCGGTATTGAAGGCCCGATAGGCCCTTTCCGACTTTAACTGCTGACCTTGTGCCACTTAAAGTTATCCTGCATAGCCATATTAATTGGTGGTATGTGTCGATGTGTTTTTCGTGAGCCTTTTCCAGAATTTGGCGCAGAGTGAAAGTCTGGTCAATGGTGGATTTGCCAGGTATGCAGCCGCATTGGTATGGTCCAATAATCATTGCACGGGACACAGGATGCTGAGGTTCCAATTATTGGGCATGCATTCCTCTAGCAAAATTGTACTATTCAGCTGGTGCATGCTCCTTACCAACATCTGACTACCAGTTTTGAATAGTTCGGCCGGTAACTCATCGGGCCCTGCTGCTTTATTGTTCTTCAGCCGATTGATTCCTTTTCTGACCTCATCTTGATTAGGTGGTATACAATCTATACCTTCATCTATTATTGGTTCTGGGGTATCTTCTTCACCGCCACTATTTGATACCAGAAGCTTTTCAAAATGCTGTATCTGTCACCAGGTTTCCTTCTTTATCTCTACAGGAGGATGTGCCTGCACCAAAACCTTCGGTTTGGTGTTTTACTCGTTGGTAAAATTTCCGTACTTCATTCCGACTCCTTTACATATCGATTTGCACCCGCTCACGTTTTCCTGTTCTTTCTTCTTTTTTTTCTGAAAATACGTTTCTCCTCTCTCCTTTTCTCCATAATTCTCCATCACATTACGTGTTGCTACTGTGTGTAGGGTTGCCATATACGCTTCGTTTTTCACATCAGTAGCATTGCGACACTCCTGATCGTACCACCGGTTTCTTGGTTGTGGTTTTTGGTACCCAAGTGTTGCTTTTTCTGCAGTTTGAACGGAGTGGACAATTCTTTGCCATTGTGCTTCCATACTATTATCGGGACAAGAAGTGCTTTCGTCAAGAAGGTGGATAAGTTGAGCGGAGTATGCCTCGGCAACCTGTTGTGTTTGCAGCTTTTCGACTTCAAATTTCCGTGTTACATTAGATCGCACCTATGCTGCAACATTAAGACGAGGGCGAGCCTTGGCTGCTACAAGGTAGTGGCCCGAATCGATATTCACTCCTCGGAAAAAATAATTTATTATTATATATATTTTATTTATTTATTAAAAATTAAAATCTCAAAATTTTCTTTTCTTACAGCCAAAAATCTCCTCGAAGTTTCATCCCTCCTCTTCAAGACACGTGGCGTGAATGATTTTTCCAATACGGTATTACAGCAAATCAAATTGTCCGCCACTCAATCATATGAGAATTTCAAGGAGAGTATCGTAGATCACTTGCAAATCCAACTACGCAATTCCCAACAACAGGATGTGGAAGGCAGTGAATGTCCGTATATTAAATCTGATGGCGGCACCGACCTCATTGTCAAACATTTAGATGAAGCCATTAAACTTATAAATCTTGGCCCCTTAGAGGAATATAATGTCTCCGTATGGTCATTATGTTTAGCCCTCTGGGGCGATCATGAGGCATTGGAGGGTCGTGATCCTACATCACATTTTGTTGTTATGTATCGTCGTAATTTACTCTCTGAGTGGTTGGAAAATACCCTTACCGATAAAGATCTATTGACACGTACCGTCTCCAAACATACCTATTTGGAACATTTAATGGATTTAATAATGTGTCACAAGGTCACTGAGGCGTGTGAATTGGCCTTCTCCTATGATGATGCCAATATGTCATTGCTATTGGCCCAATTGTCATCTGGTCCCACTGTACGCCAGCTAATGGAAGATCAATTGGCCGCTTGGAATTCTGATAAGGCAGATCAATTTATACAAATTGAACGTTTGAAAATGTATATGCTTGTGGCTGGGGTATCGCTTATGTCGTCATCGCATGGTGTTATTAATACTCTGGATGGTATTGAATGGATTAAAGTTTTGGCGGTAAGTAAAATATTAATAATTAAATTACAACTATAAAACATTTTTGTTATTGTATTTATAGCTTCAATTGTGGTATCTATCCTCACCAACATCTTCAATAACCGATGCCCTGTTGGCCTATGAGAAATCATTTAAATCGGAAGAATTTTTCTGTCTACCACCAACACCTGTCTACATGGACGACAGTGGTGAACGTCAAAATATCTATGACTTACGTTATCATTTGTTGCAATTGTTTTCCAAACGTAGTCATCCAATGGAGAGCTTGTTAAATCCTGCAACACATACCGTAGACCCCATGGATTATCGTTTGAGGTAAGAGCTATATTTTTTCTTAAAGTAAATAATTTTAATTTTCTTATTTTCTCAGTTGGTTATTATTGCAAACCCTGGAAGCTTTGGGCTATCGCCATTGTTCCGAATTAAGTGAATCACAATTACATGTCGGTTTTGCCTCACAATTAGAAAACAATGACCTATGGGAATGGGCCATATTTGTGCTACTGCACATTAAAGATCGAAATCAACGTGAATTGGCAGTGCAGAATGTCCTTTATCGTTATGTATCTGTGGCTAAAGATGTGACCCTTACCGATAAAGAGAAATTCGTTATTAACAATTTGGGTGTACCAGAAAAATGGATCGACTATGCCAAGGCAGTGAAAGCTGGTTCAGTGCAAAATTATCACTTACAAGCTAAATATTTGTTAAAGGCCAAACAATGGTCTTTGGCCCATGAAATTATATTCCAACACATAGCTCCCGATGCCATAATTAATGGTAAGATATTTTTTTATTACATTTTTTGTCTTTAATTTCTAAAATTAATTTTTCTTATTCTTTTAGATAACTTGGATTATTTGCACAACTTGCTAAGTCAATTTGAAAGCCCCGATCTAAATAAGGCCGTTAAGGTGCCCAATTGGTCTAATCAAGGACAAATATTTCTTGATTTTATTGATATAAATGAAAAGGTAAGCACATGAATTAATTTAATAATTAATGACATTAAAAAGTTAATTAGAAATTGATTATAAATAATTACTAAATTAATTTTATTTAATTATCAATTAATAATTTAAACAATTAATTTCTTGTTTCTTTTCCTTTCAGTTCAAGGGTTTGAAATCATTGAAAACCGAAGCCGATATTGAAGCCCGTTGGGAAAATCTAAAACCACAATTGGCCGATTTATGTTCACGTATCAATCTTCTGCCCTGTCCAACGCCCAAACATCGTTTGTGTCAAAGTGAAATTGCCCAAAATTTAGCATGTTTAGTACGTGGTGTTCTACTTGTTTGTCCCATCCTAAATCCCTGTCTTATTATAAAAATTGCCCTGGAACGTTTACCTTTGCCCCAAGAATTTGCCCAGCAGGAGTTGAGAGCTTTACTCGATACATTGGTTGGTGATCTATCCAAAGTTCAAGTGGTGCCAAGTGAAGTGTGACCGACCGATCGACATGCACACATAGGATTATTGTAGTAGTCAGTTTTAAGTAATCATCATTTTTTTATGTTTTAAATTCTTCAGTAAACAAAAAAGGGACATATATTATAAGCGTCACTTTATCAAATTAAATCGTTATTAATACAACAACAACAAAAATTGTGTAATTTGTTTTCTTTCTCAATTTTTTTTGATTTTTTCTTGTTATGGCCCCTCTAAATTTATGCATCGTAGAAAGATTACAGTTTAACATGATAATTTAATAATAATAAATTTAAAAAAATTAAAAAATCTATTGTTATTAACACCCTTCAAATCACACAAATAAAACCAACTAATTTTTTTAGTATAAAAATAAGACATTTTTTTCTTTTTTGCTGTAGATTGGAATCTATAAAATACTTGATTATATTCCCAAGTCGAATGCAATGAAAACCGTGTCAAATTTATTAACTTATTTGAAGCTTCGAATAGTATCAAAACAATCATTCTTCTCCAAGGTTATTCTCAGTAGAGATTGGCATACTTGTAGAGAAGAATGTTCCCATTTTTTTACCTTCACCACACTGTGGTACAGGGTATTTTGTCTTTGTACATATGTTTGTAAGAGGCAAAAGGAATCGAGATAGACCCATGGTTCCTTTTGAGAATATGCATAGAATAACCTTCTGAGTCGATTATGATCCGCTTTGGATGAAATTCGGCACAGCTGAATTGAGCCTAGAGTGATGTCTGCCAAGTTTCGTGAAAATCGATTCAGATTTAGATATAGCTCCCATATATATTTTCGTCCTATTTCGTCTTTCAATTTGCACGAAATTTCGCATAACGTACTGAATTGAGCCTAGAGTGATGTCTGCCAAGTTTCGTGAAAATCGACCCAGATTTAGATATAGCTCTCATATATATTTTCGTCCGATTTAATGTAAACGGTGCACCAAAGACCCTATATATATTTTGATTTGCCCGAAATTTGGCATAACGTACTGAATTGGGCCTAGAGTGATGTCTGCCAAGTTTCGTGAAAATCGGTTGAGATTTAGATATAGCTCCCTTCTATATTATCGATTGATTTTAAGTAATTGACGCACGAAGGAACCAATATATGGCTGATGGGAACAAAACGTACTGAAATTAGTATAACCTAACCTGTGACAAGTTTCGTTCCATATATATTTTCGTTCGATTTTAAGTAAATGCTGCATAAACCTCCTCATGTTTGTCAGATTGACCTGCAATTTTGCACAATGTACAAAATTGAGCATAGAATAACGTAGTTGCGTTTAATAGTGGTGAATGGTATCATATAGTCGGCTCCGCCCGACTTTACTACTTTCCTTACTGGTTTTTAATTGAAAACACGTTGGAATAAGTGACACTACCTTATACAAAAGGTATACATAATTTTATTGATATGTTCAACATTTAAAAAATATATTATATATGCAATTAATTCGAGTTGTGTTGTTTTGTAAAATAAGAACACATTTACATTTTTTGTTTGTTTTTCGATAATTACAAATATATATGGACGGTATTGTTTTTGTCATATCTTACACATAAATATTCTTTAGATGTATAAAAAAGAATGTAGATATTTAGAATAATTTAAAAGCATACATGATGTGTGGAATGTGGGTAAAAAAGAAAACGTTATATAAAAAACTTGTACATAATATATTAAGGCACTATTTATATATAAAAGACATGCACACACAAAAAAGTTGTGTATGAACCAACATTAAAAATTAATATATGGAATGTATAAGGTGGTTTTGTAAAGATTTCATAATACAAATAAAACATATAATTAAAAAAAAATTGGACGGGTTTCAAGAGATTCTAATAGACGAGACTCCTTTTTTTAAATATAAAAAATATTTGTGTGGTAATTTTTTGTGCTTAACCAACTGGCATTGTTGAGACAGTGCTGTGCGGTGTTGTGGGACGTGAGCCGGCCAATGAATTTGCAGTTGAGGCATGTAAGGAGGCCATGGTACCCATCTGTAAACAAAAAAAACAAATTAAATTAATTATTTAACTAAAAATTAAATAAAAATTCAATTACTCACCCTTAAATGGGCCAAATCTTCTAATTTGGTTAAATCGACCAATTCCAAAAATAGCGAATAAACACAGGCCCAGCCATAAATTGATATCAAAACAAATACTGACCACAGGAATACCATTACGGCATTATAGGCAAAATACAAATCATTGACAATGGCAAAGAACAACAATGCCAATAGACGCCATATTGTAAAGACGGCAAATGTCCATAGCCAGGGGAGAATCTTACGTTCATATTCCTAGAGATGAAACAAAATTAAAATATTAGTAGCTGTTAAAAAAATGTATTTTATTTTGTTGTGAATAAAAAGCCAATGGTTTTCTCATTTCTGGATGATTTTCTGAGGAGTTTGCCGATAAGGAACTATACCCCATACCACTGGGAACATAAGGATTTAAAAAGTCTTCACGAAAGCAAGTAACCAATCCACACAAATCGTGCTATAGTCGTTCGGTTAAAAAATTTACCAAAATACCGAATTATGGGTGTGTCATTATATAGGGGTCTACTCTGAAGTATAAGTCAATACACATAGTTTTTGGAGGGAGATGTTCTACCCTATGATAATCCAAAATACTAAATTGCAGCCAATTTGATTGAAACAAGCTTTCCAAACTCCATAAAAAGCTGATATTTGGAAAATTACGTTCCGTGGATTAATATTGATAATTTTTGGTGGGGAGATTTGTTAACAAATGAGTAACCAAAATACCAAATTATAGCCAATTGGTTGGAAAACGTGCCCAAAATACTGGTACAGGTAGCCCCCCATACCGTTATATGGGGGGCTACCCTGAAAGATGGACCAATATTCACAATTTTCGATAATAAAATTGATGACCTAATGAGTATCCAAAACACCAAATTACAGCCAATTTCTGAGATCTAGAATTTTGAAATATTTTTTAGAGTCCTAACTTTTTATAGTCCTTTTTAAGGCCTAACATTTTTCCTTCCTAAGGCCAAAAAATTTAAATATTTTTTTAGGGCCTATAATTTTTAAAGAATTTTTTAGCTTCCTGGTTTTACCTATGTGGTTTCAAGCTCTTTTGAAATTTCAACATACAAACTCCAAGTGTTGTAGTGAATTTGATGCGGACACTTCATAAATTTGGCGGATACTTCATGTCTTTAGATCATGTTTTTTTTTAATGACTTGTATAAATCCTTTGGGCATACTGTGGTAAAGGGTATTATAGTAGACTTTTTTTAATATATATTTTTTGAGGATTAAATGATAGCTTTTCTTCTAAGAAACATTTTACCGGCATTATAACAAAACGTTTCTGTGCTATTCCTTCTCGGTGTTGCTTGTATGTATGTAAGGCAAATTAAAGTAAAATAGATGTGTGTTATGAAAGATTTGCATTAACAAATTAAGTGAATAATGGAAATGATTAACATAAAGTAGATAATTTAAAAATCAGTTTCTGTAAAATTCTAAATAAATTCGAGTGACTTACGACCAGCCCTGTTTAATTTGAACAATAATATATAATTAGGAATCAATTGTTTTTTTTACAGGAGTTGATACTAATTTCCTCGAATTCATTACAAATTTTGCAAAAACGTTCTATAAATTGTTATAAATTTTTCTATAAAATCTTAAAAAATAATACAACTAACCTTTCTTAAAGCTACAACCAATAGTATGCTTGTACAGAATATTATAAGACCAAAGACTAAGGAGAATAAAGCAAACACCATCAACATGTTACGAACTGAAAAAAAAAACAAAACAATATGACAAAACATTCATTAATTAATATCATTTAACGCCCATAACTATACTGAGAAGCTGGGGTACATACCATGCTTATTGCCAACATAGACAAATTCATATGAAATAATATAATAACCATAATGTGTGGAACCAGGCGCACCCATTGCCAAACAATATATATCGAAGATGGCAGTGCCAATGGTAAATAGAGCCAAGAACTGTAATATATAAACATTTTTTTAATAAGAAATTAAATAATTTATATTTATTTCCATTTTTTACTTACAATGGCAAATAACCCAATCATCATTGCATTTTTCTGAATATCAATATATTGATTATTCTTTAAGATGGGCCTTTGATACCATGGTATACGCACGGATCGAGTTGAACGTGATTTTGTGGTATGTAGATTGGTTGAGGATCTGTACGAAAAAAATATTAAAATTAAAATAATTCCAATACACCTGTTAACATTCCATTAGTTTGAGCCTTACCTTCCCGTGGTATGGGAATACACTGAGGGATTCGAACGATATGTCGAAGGTGTCTTTCGTCCATAATTCATAATGATGCCTTACAAATGTCGTCCACAATTCTTGCTCTTATTAAATAATTTTATTATTTATCGTTCTAAAAAAGGAGAAGTAAACAACATTTCATCACAATATATTAATTACAATTCCACTGTTTTAATTAATAAACAAAATAACACAAGCCTATAGGGCGTTTCCCAAAACATTGCAGCTCGCCCAAATACATGTGCAGTGTTTTCCATGGATTTTATTTATGTTATGGACTATTATTACACTTTATTTTATATTTTACACAATTTACTATTTGAATTATATATAATTTCATTAAAATATTTTCAATTTATTACCGTAATTAGTTAAAAAACAAAATAATAACAAAAATACGCGTGAAAACAAATTATGAGATGGAATGTTGACTCAAGCGACGTCGTACGCAAAAAATTGAAAAACGTTCCACCTGCTAACGAATGGAGGATAAGACAAAATGGCCGATAAAGATGAACTCAAAATGGAATAACCTAAAGCTTACGAATGAGGTGGGATGGAGACTAAATGGAAAACCGTGTTGTTTACGAATGACGTTTAGGCAAATTATGATTAGGGATAAGTAAATCGACTTTCGACTAATCGACTTTTTGTATCGAAGAGTCTAAAAGTCGATCTTTTGATCTACGAAGAAACCGCAAAGGCAAATTTTTAAGATCGACTTTCTTTGATTTTATATATTATTCACTTTGCAACATTTCTTTCTTCCTTTTTAACAATGTTTTTTACAAGAGAATGTTTTCATTGATGACAAGTAAAGCAGAAGTTCAATGCCGCCAACAACGCAGTGGTTTTAACGGCGTCACATTCATTTGGTAGTTAGTGTGACGTGTCGTAGGGGAATAACATGAAAGTGATGTTTCAAGAGAAATAACGGTTAAGTGTAATTGTTGTTGTCTCGGCTCGGTTGCATGATCATTCCTGATGCAAAAATATAAGCCGAAGAAGATGCTTAATAAAGGTAGTGACTCTGTGTGTAAACTAATTTAATATTGTTGTTGTTCTAAGTTAATGGTGTGCAAAAAGAGAGGAGAGTAAAGGAGAAACCGCTTATTTATACATGCAAAACAAGGGCATCAGTTCCAGCATTATTCTAAAGTGGGCCACACACCTCAAACATGTGCGTTCGATCGGTGTGAAGCTCCTAGCCCACACACGTCAAACGGATCCATTAAACTTCATTTCATATTTATTTTTGAAGCGTGAAGATGGACCACGATAGTGATGACGGAAAACAGACGATATATTTTTATTTAATATAAATGTATTAAATACTTTTATTTTATTCCGGGAAAAATATTTTTATTTGCCACACAGTAGAATATGTGTAAAAACATCAAAAAATCTTCCAAATACATATGTATTACATTTGTCCGCTGATCCGCACTCCACGAAATTTCTCAACAAATGAGAAAATATCCACACACCAGGCCACAGACGTCAAACATGTGCGCGTCGCACAACGAAAAATTAAAAATTTTTAATTTCTTTCGATCGGTGTGCGCACCGGCAAATCGGTGTGAACACCGTACCACACACGTCAAACATTGCTTCGATTCACACCGATCGAACGCACATGTTTGACGTGTGTGGGCCACTTAAGTGTAAAATAGAAGAAACACAACAACAGTACTGTGAGAGAGACATTAAAAGCAATATCAGCAAAAGCAAAATTAAACCTGAGCAATTTAACAATGAGCAATGTCATTGTTGTTGCTCTCTGTGTATAAAATAAAAAAGCGACATTAGTGTGGGAGAGACAACAAAAGAAATACCAAAAGTTGTTATTGTTCGGTTGTATGATCCTTAGTGAAGGAGAAATATAAATTAAAGTGAAATAAAAGGCAAAAGAATAACAACATTTAATTATTTTGTGTGAAATCTATGTCAATTTCTTTGTTTGTTCTGTGTGTGAAATAAAATACAAACGACAACAACAACATTCCATTGGGAGAGACATCAATGTTGAGGAGAAATAACGGCTACAGAATTCGGCACTCTCTGTGTCATTTTTATGCAAAAGAGGCGTAAGGTATCACAACTTTTGGCGCCAAATGTGACAAAATACATTTGTTTGGTAAAAAGGAGACAGATAAAAAAGACTCCTCCAAAGAACAATTCCACATATGTGGGAGGCGCTTTCAAACACGTGTGAAAATTATTGAATAACTGTTCGGAAGTAAAATAAAATGTTAAATAAAAGAAATAAACAACATTTCTATGGGAGATACGTCAAATGGAATGCCCACTGATGTAGTGGCTTGAAGTGTTTGTGTAAGCAATTACAAGCAACAATTTCATATTTTTGGAGGCGTTTCCAAATACTTACCATGCCCAGAAGGCCAAAGTGGTCTTTATTATAGTTGTCTCAGCAAAATTGAATGATATGCCAATTTGTTGACCGCATTGAATGCTTATCGTTCCGGGACGTTATATGGCTGTGATGGCTCGAGAGGTAAGAAGAAATTATACGAATTTTATGTTCCTTTCTTACGTTTGTTTTATTTCTATTGTGATCCACTTCAGCTATGTTCCAGTCCGGAATTTGACGATTAACTGGTCCTGAACTAGTTCGGTTTTATATAGCAATTATGAGTTTGGATTACGTTTGCTGGTATAAAACATCACGGGGGAAAATGGATTTCTGTCTTTCATACGCATACCCATTGTACCCCATAGATCAGGCTCTGATGGTAAGAACAGCACAGTAAAAAAAGGGTCAATAACCACAACATATACACAGCCAAGTATACTTTATCCTATGTATCCTTCACACAACCTTGCAACCATACAATACAAAAACTTCTTCTTTGAGGATTGGATATGAATGGAGGACAAGTTTGTGAAAACCCCAGTCATCCGCAGTCACAACAAAATAATGAAACTTTTTTTTCGATGCCAGCATAGTGGACATGGTGGTACTACCCCTACTAAAATGTGGCAACATTTCAACATACAGACCGATCGAAATACTATGTTATCACGACCTATACATCAAAATGGATTCCATAAAATTCTAACGGGCTTAAGAAGAACGAAAAGTGTTTTAGTGCCTTTTGACCTATGGAAGTCTGTTGTACTTTCAAGTATGTGAAAATCGTCTTCAAATCAGTGTCCCACACTTACCTGATCGAATACCCAGAAGAGATAAAGATCTTCGTGTATAGTGTCTACTGTATCTAATCGAGAAAAAAAGCTCATTAATTTGCTTTTTCATCAACAAAATAAAAACTCAATACAATACCATGAATATTTTATTTCAAGTTGAAATAATATAAAGGCTGAAAATGCTGCTACAAATTTTCAGTTCTATCAAATCTAGAAAAGATACTCAACAATCGTTTCAAACCAAATTCAAGGCAATAACTTCTTCAGAAACAATCGAAAACAGTTTGTCCAATGAATATATAAAGGAATCGCTTAATTATTTGCATCGAAACCCACAGAGAAGCATCTTCCCTGCGCCTGACCCGAAAATAAGGTAAGCCAAAATTATGCTATTTTATTTTTTCTATATATTTTTTTTCATTTACTTATATGAAATATAACAATAAATAGTTCTCTTTTAGAATATATAATAATAATATTACTTATTTAAAATCACACAAAATAAGATATTTTTTAACAATTTTAGAATTAGACAAATAAATGAATTTAGGAAATTATATGAAATTAATGATAGTGAAGTAAAAAAACATAGGAATGTTTTCGAATCGAAATTGGCGGCCTAAAGATGAAATGAAAAACAAATATAAATAAAAAATATAAACAACAAAAAATAATCTTTGGGAAAAAGGTGTTATAAAAAAAGATATATAAAAGTATAAACAACAAAAAATAATCTTTGGGAAATTAGTAATAAATTAAAATTATAAAAAACAATGACCAATCAATAAGTACTTCTTTCAAAAGATAGGAAAAAAAATGTTATTACATCAAAGTAAAACAAATGCAATTGTGTGTACAAAAGCTATATAAAAAATTCGTGTACATATATGTGTTACTTGTTGTGTAAACAGAAACGAATTAGAGGTGAGGTGTGTTATCTATTACAAAAGAAAATCGATTAGAAAGAAAGCTACATGTTTCAAGTGTATTACAATATTATTAATATGTTAGATTTGAAATTAGTGATGATTTGGGACTATAAATAAAACAAATACAATACGTATCTATATAAGCAGCAAATAGAGATTTACACTGACACACAAACACATAGATACATATGTTGCGCGCTATGAATCTAAAATGATATTTTTCTTTCTTTTTGTTGGGTTCTTCTATTCTCTAACTCTCTACTATTCTACTGAATACAGCAACTGCGTACCGAATGGCTAAGTTTGTGATCATCTTCGATATCCTTGGCGCTTAAAAGACTCTTTATACTTTCGGCTTCTTTCATCCAGAAATCCAACTGTAATAGAAAAAAAAATTAATTAATATTTTTTGTAATTGAAATAAATATGTATATTAAAAACCTGTTGCAGTAGCAAAGATCTTCGTTCACCCTTGGGTTCCTTATTTAAAAATGGCACCAATATACCCAGAGCCGATGTAAATGATTCCAATGCAGCTTCATATTTTCGCTCAAATAAATACAACTCACCTTGACGTCCAATTTCAAGGCCAGATTTTAGAGAAGGACTGGAGTGTGAGAGAGCATCTATAAAAAACAATTAAATTTAATTATTTAAAAAGAATTCCAAAGGGGAGAGCTGAAATAAGTCTTGATCTAACAGCTGAAATGATTATATAAACGAGATGAAGGGAGTGTGACTATCTGGAGGAAGTCTTTTAGAGGAACTGAAGATAGTCTTTATTGGCAATCGGAAGGGATATTAATAGAATAGCTGAAGGGATACATTATAGACAAACTGTATGGAGTCTTTATAAATTAGCTGAAGGGAGTTTTTCATAGACGAGCTGAAGGGAGACTCATAGACGTCTATGAAAGACTCCCTTAATGTCGAGTCTTTCATGGACGAGCTGAAGGGAGTCTTTTATAGACGAGCTGACGGAAGTCTTTCATAAGCTAAAGGGAGACTTTCATAGACGAGCTGAAGGGAGTCTTTATAGACAAGAAAATATAAAACATAATTATTAACAAATTCAGGATCTTGTCTTACAGAATTTGGTGGGAGTATATCCTCTTCCTCAAAGTGTTTTTAGACGTGAATGACCTAATGGGCGTTTTTTACTTACAAAGTTGTTTGTAACGTGTTTCCGGTTCTAAGGCTTGTGCTACTACATTTGTTGTTGTGTTTGTTGCGGCACTGGGGTTTCCACTTGTCGACGAAGCAGCAGCAATAGACTCCTGACCACTTCTGGCTTGTCTCAAGGCCAACGCTTTATATTCCTCTTCAATTAAAACGTTTTTTATTTCCTCCGCACGCTTAAGATAAGTTTGAGCTCTTTGACGTAAAGCCATACGTTTGGTGGCATCCGGTTCATCCGTAATCAAGGGTACAAAATATTGCAGGGAACTGCAATAGAGGTAATAGGCCTCTTTGTAGTTTTTCTTTTCATCATATTCCACGGCCTGGGTGACCAAATCAATGGCTTTTTGAAGGGTCTGCGAGGAAGGAGGATCGTATTAAATCAATTACTAAATTTTAATGAATTCTAATTTACCTTTTCTGAGGGCACTGTTTTGAGATCAAGAAATGCATGATTAAAGAAATCATTAAAGGCTATACGCTTGGCTGGATCATGTTGTAACAAACGACTGAGCAGGTCTTCACACTCTTTACTGATGCGTGCATTGGGCGGCAATGTTATACGTTCACAGTTTTGTATGCGTGCCAGTAACTCTTCGATGGTTTTCGAAGAGTATGGGGCACGTCCAAATAAACATTCATATAAGATAACACCTATACTCCACAGGTCAGCCCTGGCATCATACCTTTGCTTGCGTATTATTTCCGGTGCCATATACAAGGGTGATCCCTTCAATTGTTGATTTATTTCACCCAATTTTAAATGCTGGGCAAATCCAAAATCTGCCACCTTCAACGAAACATTATTATTATTGTATTTGGTCAGCAATAGATTCTGAGGTTTCAAATCGAAATGACTAATTTCATTGTTGCGCATATATTGCACAGCAGAGGCCAGTTGACGTAGGAAATACTTGCAGGTGGCCTCAGGCAGTGATTTTTTTGAACGTATAAAAGACGAGAGGCTACCCGCATTGCAGTATTCCAGCACAATGTAAATGTTCTTATCATCCCAAAAGAAATCCTGTAGCGTTACAATGTGTTTGTGGTTCAATGACCTTAGCAGGCGAATTTCCGTAATTAGATTCTCTCGGGAACTGTCCGATAAGGAGGACATCTCCACAAATTTGATGGCATGACATGTTTTGCTTTTCTAGAATAGAAAGAGAAAAAAAATAATTCAATTCACGTGGGCGGTTGTGTTCAGTGATCCTATAAATCCCATTGAAAGGAAAATTGCACTACTTACCTTGTGCCTGGCTCTGTACACCGTGGCATAGCTGCCTTCACCCAATTTTTCCAATATATCAAAATCCGTTATGCGAGGCAATGCCATTTTCCGATACTGCTACACTAAATCAAAAACATTCTAAAATGGAATTTATTTCGATTTTTTGTGAAAAATTCGCTGGGGTTCTTGATGTGAAATGATGTTGTGTCTCAATGAAATAAATGCGTTCAATTGAGTGATTCTCTGAAACGAACGAACGGAACTATTTTTATTTATCAAATGATACGAATGGGGGTAGACAGGGGAGATAGGCTGATAAAGTACACACTGAAAACAAACTGGCCGCTATTATTTTTGTTTTTATTTTTGAGGGCAATAACGGTCATATGTTATCAGCTGTTACAGTTATGACCACCTAAAAATGAACTAAAGGAACTAGTCAGAGCGTGGATTTATTAAAGAATATTTTTTCAAGGTCTATGGTCTATAAGAGGCGTGGATTCATTAAAGAATATATTTTCAAGGACCATCCATACAAGGTGTGGAGGATTTTTGAAGAATATTTTTTCAAGGGCCATCCATACAAGGCGTGGTTTTTTTAAAGAACATTTTTTCAAGGGCCATCCATACAAGGTGTGGATTTTTTAAAGAATATTTTTTCAAGGGCCATCTATACAAGGCGTGGATTTTTTAAAGAATATTTTTTCAAGGGCCATCCATACAAGGCGTGGATTTTTTAAAGAATATTTTTTCAAGGGCCATCCATACAAGGCGTGGATTTTTTAAAGAATATTTTTTCAAGGGCCATCCATACAAGGCGTGGATTTTTTAAAGAATATTTTTTCAAGGGCCATCCATACAAGGTGTGGATTTTTTAAAGAATATTTTTTCAAGGGCCATCCATACAAGGTGTGGATTTTTTAAAGAATATTTGTTCAAGGGCCATCCATACAAGGCGTGGATTTTTTAAAGAATATTTTTTCAAGGGCCATCCATACAAGGCGTGGATTTTTTAAAGAATATTTTTTCAAGGGCTTTCCATACAAGTCGTGGATTTTTTAAAGAATATTTTTTCAAGGGCCATCCGTACAAGGCGTGGATTTTTTAAAGAATATTTTTTCAAGGGCCATCCACACAAGGCGTGGATTTTTTAAAGAATATTTTTTCAAGTGCCATCCATACAAGGCGTGGAGGATTTTTAAAGAATATTTTTTCAAGTGCCATCCATACAAGGCGTGGAGGATTTTTAAAGAATATTTTTTCAAGGGCCATCCATACAAGGCGTGGAGGATTTTTAAAGAATATTTTTTCAAGGGCCATCCATACAAGGCGTGGAGGATTTTTAAAGAATATTTTTTCAAGGGCCATCCATACAAGGCGTGGAGGATTTTTAAAGAATATTTTTTCAAGGGCCATCCATACAAGGCGTGGAGGATTTTTTTTTTTTTATTTATTTATTTATTTATTTACTCAATACAAAGAAAGCTTCTATGCCAATTATACATGTATTGGAGATAACAATAATAAAAAGAGCTAAAACTATGGTAGTGATGTTTTACCTTATTAATATTATTAAAACTAATAAAAATTTAAGAGTAAGAAAAATTAAATTAAATGGCTCCCCAGCCAATATGAATGCTGACAACAAAACAAAAAAGGTTGGATCCCATAACTACATGTGTAATGCTATTAAATTAACCATTGAGAAATGATTTTAACAATTTAGAGAAGTTGAAATATGAATAAGAGAATACTCTCATTGAATTAGGCAAAAAATTCCAAATTCTGTAGACACGAACCACAAATGAGTGCTCATAAATTGATGATCTGACCAAGGGTACTTCGATCTGCACGTTGCGAGTAGAATTAATAAATGTAAATTGCTTGACTAAAATTTCAGGCTTTTGTAATTTTATTACCTTATAAAAATGAAGAACTATGCGCTGACTTATATAGTTCCGGCAAGTACAACCAAGAAAAACAGATGTTAATTCCAATGCGCGAACATGATCGAGTATCCCAAGTTTGAAAACATATCTTACTACTTTGCGTATGATTTTTTCAATTCTGTTTAAGTTATAAGACCAAGTACCAGAGTATACTTCAATACCATAATTAAAGATAGACATCAAAAGCGAAAAGGCTAAACGTTTTCTTATATTCTCTGGGGTGTAAGCTCTAAGACTATACAATCTCCTTAAAGTGAAACATATTTTCCTAGATATGTCATTGATATGATCATTAAAATTAAGGCAAGAGTCAAGTCTAATTCCCAGACATTTTAGCGAACGTACAAATTCTATCATTTGTCCATTTAAAGCAATCTTTGGACAAAGAGTCTCCTGATGGCGTGAGTGAAAATAAATGGCTTTTGTCTTTGCAGCGTTTATTTCCAACTTATTCATTGTCAATATGTTAGATGTGTATAAAAGGTGTGAATTGATAGATTCTTCAGAAGCAAATGAATTAAATAATAAGAAAATATCATCAGCATAGACATATGGCTGGCAAATTGGACTTACAATGGCGGAGATAATATCATTTATATATATCAGGAAGAGAATCGGGCAAAGAACTGATCCATGTGGAACACCAGATGTCACATTGCCAATTGAAGATGTAGCCCCATCTACAGTAACATACTGTCTACGCCCAAAGAGATATGAATAAATAAGTTTACAAGCAGTTTTTGAGAATTTAAAGCGGTCGCGCAGCTTCAGTAATAAAATACCATGGCTAATACGATCAAAAGCCTTGGTGACATCCAAAGAAACTAGGGTACAACCGACATGATTATCCAACTGTTGCCTAATGGAATCAGTTATTGAAATTAAGGCTGATGTAGTGTTGTGATTTCTACGAAAAGCAAATTGGCAAGGATTAAAAATTGAATATCGCTGGCAATGTTCTAGAATTTGCTCTTTCATTACATTCTCTAGAATCTTTGACATTGATGGAAGTATTGAAATTGGTCTATAACTTTCGACAGCATTCCGATCACCCTTGGGGATTGGTACTACTTTTCCTAGTTTCCAGGCGTTTGGAAAACTAGAAACTGTTAAAATTGTATTAATTAAATGCAGTAAAAATTGCGAAATAATAGGGTAAATAATCTTGATAAATTTGATTGGAACTAAATCATACCCCACAGCATTAGTCCTAATAGAATTCAGAGCATGAATAAGTTCATATTCAGTTATTGAATGGAACGAAAAGGAATCTGTACGATCAACAAAACCATCAAAGTCTAAAAATACATCTTCAACAGGACCCATGTTACCCAAAAACTCACTTGCAATGGACTCTACATCAATTTCCTCAGATTCTGTTCTTTGTTCAACAGTACAACCCAATTGCCGAACTTTTATCCATATTTCAGCACCACTCACATTAGAAAAAAATCTTCTACCATATTCAAATCGAGCTTTTCTTATTGTGGACTTAGCTTTATTTCTAAATCGGGTATATATTTTCCAATTTTCATCAGTAGGAGTACTCAAATAAGATTTATAAGATCGATCTCTTTCTCTTCTGGCCTGTTTTATTGCAGGAGAATTCATCCATAAAGTGTTTGAGTGCGATTTGATTCTAACTGTAGGAACATAAGAATGAAGCAAGTTTATTACATTATTTAGTGTAGACAACTGTATATCCGTATCGTTTGTATGGTATAATAAGTATAAGTCAGATTCGTTAATAATACCTGAATAATCAGAAGGGTTAAAACGGTTATAATCTTTATACTCGAACCAACTATGTTTTTTCTGTGTTTTAAAAAGAACTGAAAGAAATATGAAACTATGAGAAGATGAAAAGAAAGGAAATTGCATCTGACTATTACTGACAACATAGGATGCTTGGCTAACAAGAAAAAAGTCCAATAACGAAGTAGTGCTAGTGGGTAGATTAAGATGCGTAGGCAAAGAATTGTGGATGCAATGAAGACCACAACGAGAAATGACAGAGCGGAAATTATACGATTTGATAGGATCAAATAAATTACAGTTGAAGTCCCCCATAACAATTATATTAGAGAAACGATCAAATATTTTTAAATATTTAATATTTTTTAAAGAATATTTTTTCAAGGGCCATCCATACAAGGCGTGGAGGATTTTTAAAGAATATTTTTTCAAGGGCCATCCATACAAGGCGTGGAGGATTTTTAAAGAATATGTTTTCAAGGGCCATCCATACAAGGCGTGGAGGATTTTTAAAGAATATGTTTTCAAGGGCCATCCATACAAATAAAACTCATTTCGATTATCAATTATATAAAATATATTTTGTTTATAAAAAACTCCAAAATTTATTCCATATTCTTTTTAATCCAGTCAATGTAGTGCGAAACCTTAGTGTACACACCAGGATAAGGAGCAATGGTGCATGGTTTTCTACTCCACGAAACAATACCCAATTGAATGTTGCCCTTGTACAACAATGGACCACCAGAATCACCGGAACATTGTCCCTTGCCACCTTCATCGACACCACCGCAAATGTGATATTGAGGATTGGTCTCGTAGTTGTGTCTCTCCTGGCACTCAGCATCGGAATAGATTTTCAAATCGACTTCTTGCAAAGTGTTTTGAATGTAGCCACCGGTCTGTAAAGAAAACAATTAAAACAAAAATTATTAAGATTTTGAAAAGACCGACCTATTACTAAAATTCCATGGTAGATCGATATTTTTTCACCATAGATTAATCAGATATTGTTCTTCGTCGATCGTTATTGTTATTATTATCAAATAATTGCCACTGACATTTATGGTTCGTAAACCCCGATATGGTTTTTATATTAATAAATAACTGTAAGTGGTTTGTAAATTCAATTTAGGTTTATCGCCTTGTAAATTAAATGCGTCATTGAATTTTAGAAATATTGAAGATAATAATGAAATAATATGTGGTAGCGATACGCATATGTATTTAGGTTTATATGACTGTGATATAAGCGAAGGTATTCAATTGATTGGTCATAGCAAAAAATTGAAAAAAGTCTTAAAAAAACCCGAAGCGACTGAAGATAGAAGGAGTGGAAACTTCCACGCCTCTTATAGTCTCTGAAAAATTATTCTTTGAAAAATCCAAGCCTTTTCTAGACCTTGAAAAAATATTCTTTGAAAAATCGAAGCCTTTTCTATACCTTGAATAAATATTCTTTTAAAAATCCACGCCTTGGATGACCATTGAAAGGTCTTCTTTTAAAAATCCACGCCTTGGATGACCATTGAAAGGTCTTCTTTTAAAAATCCACGCCTTGGATGACCCTTGAAAAAATATTCTTTAAAAAATCCACGCCTTGGATGACCCTTGAAAAAATATTCTTTAAAAAATCCACGCCTTGGATGACCCTTGAAAAAAATTTTATTTAAAAAATTTACGCCTTGGATGACCCTTGAAAAAATATTCTTTAAAAAATCCACGCCATGAATGACCCTTGAAAAAATATTCTTTAAAAAATCCACGCCTTGGATGACCCTTGAAAAAATATTCTTTAAAAAATTCACGCCTTGGATGACCTTTGAAAAAATATTCTTTAAAAAATTCACGCCTCTTGTAGACCTTAAAAAAATATTCTTTATAAACTCCACTATTCCGTTTGCAACTTACCGCATTCAAACCCCAACCAGCCAAAACACCAGGTACACCCTCAGGCTGCTGATCAATTTCAAAATAGGGTTCAGGCAAATTGACGGGAGCCAAGGTCTTATAGTTGAATACCAAGGTACCGTACAATTCCAACAAAGCGATGTCATTGGCATACGAATTTGCTGGATTATAATCTTCGTGCATAATAATACGCTTGACGGGGACAACATTATCACCCATCGAACTGATCGTAGTGGTGGCATATTGAACACTAATTTGACTGGGTGTACGTCCACTGACACAATGGGCAGCGGTCAAAATATAACGTGGCGAAATAATACTCGAACCGCACGAATGTGAACCGGTAGCACCGCGCAACGATACCATAAATGGATATTTGGTAATATCGGTGGAGGTGCCATTGACGACACGTCCCTCAGGGAAACACTGGACACTGGTGGCGGCCAGTGTCAGCACCAAGATGGCGAGTGATGATTTCGACAACATTTTTCGATGGTGTACTAAACGTTATCCGCATTGCAGACGCACTTTTATATCGCAAACGTAATAGAAATCAGCAAATCTTTGAAAACTTCTGGGGGAAATCTTATCGCCAATGACGATCGAAGCTTTTTTAATCTATCGATTTCTTTGTTTTGTGTTTATTTTTTTTCGTTTCAAAGGATGGTCGATCATTATATTGTACCCAGTACTCTTTGATTTGTTTTGTGCGAGCCGACCCGCAATCATGGCACAGCAATAAAATATCCGATTAGATAAAGATGCAACCGTTTTCATAAATTCCCAAGCTTAATGCCAAAAAATGGGTTTTATTACTGCAAAAAAAAAATATCAATCTGGGAAGAGGAGATTTATTATATAGATATAACGAATTCGTGCGCGATATGAATGTTGGGAATTTTGTAGATTGAAATTTATTTATTTATTTATTTTCGTTTAAATTTAGACAATTATTTTATATAACTCGTTACCGTCATAAGCAAACCTAATAAATTTGAAATCCGGAAAATAATAAACAGATGCTACTATGGTCTGAGTAAACAACAAGGCCACCTCTCGACAGACCAAACTCTGGGTACTTGCGCAAGCAGATGAAGCAGGTCTTTTAGTGTTTGAGACAAAAATTCTCCGGAAGATATATGGGCCGATCTGCGTTAACGGTGAATATCGCCGTCGAATGGACCATGAGTTGTACCATCTATTCTCGGACATCGACATAGTCAGATGTATCGGCTACAGCGAATACATTGGCTAGGTCATCTTGTGAGAATAGATGAGGATGCCACAGCATAAAAGACATATAGAAGCGACCCAAGTGATGGCTAAAGCAGAAGGTGAAGGCTACGAATTCGTAGTTAAAGAACATGGTCTTTCAAATTGGATGGGCTGCGCACAAGACCGACGCGTCTGTAAATCTTTATTAAACTCGGCTTATGGAACAAACGTTTTGACACAAGCCAGCTAAGTAAGTCTCCTGTTACCGCTCTCAATGTTCGACCCATTATGTCGATGTCACCGGCATAGGCGAATACCATGTGTTGTTTGGTGTAAAGAGTGTCATTTAGGTTAACCTTTGCCTCTCGTATGACCTTTTCCAGTAGGATGTTAAACAGGTCACACGGCAAACTGTCACCTTGTTTGAAACCTCGTTCGGTATTGAAGGGCCCCGATGGATCATTTCCGGCTTTAACTGCTGACCTTGTGCAAGTTAAAGTTATCGTGCATAGCCGTATTAATTTTGCAGGAATGCCGAACACAGACATGACTTTAAACACCTCTGAACGGATCGGACTGTCGCATGCGGTTTTATAGTCGACGAATAGGTGGAATGTGTCGATGTGTTTTTCGTGGGTCTTTTCGAGGATTTAGCGCAGAGTGAAAATCTGTGCAATGGTGCCAGGTCTGAAGCCGCATTAGTATGGCCCAATAATGTCATTGACCTCTCCTTTTCTCCTGCTACTGTCTGCAGGGTTGCCCCATACGCTGCGTTTTTCGCCTCAGTAGCATTACGACACTCCTGATCGTGCCACGGATTTCTTGATGGTGGTCTTTGGTACACCGGCTCTGATTGACATGGCGAAACCCAGACTTATCTTGTCCCCTCATTCATCTTAATTGTGGACACTGACCTCCCAGTGGTGTCACCTAGGGTAGCTATATTCATCACCCGTTGAAATAATCAGCTGATATGTGCCTTGTATATGTGCTTTGTATCCCCTTTCAGCGATTGTTTCATTGTAGAGAGCCTGCATGTTAGTCCTAATGGTAGTAGCTTTGGCTATGAAGCTGTGCAGAGGCTATAGTCTGTGAGTGACCAGTCTCGAACTGTTTGGGGTTCTATTGGTAATAGCTTCGGCTATAAACCTGACCGAAGGTTTCGGTAGCACGGGTGTCAAGGCCCCTAGGTCTGCGGATCTAGCCTGGCAGTTGGTGTTGGCCCTTCGGGGAGCATCGTGCTGGAGGTGGTTTATACCCAAATCGCGCGTAGAGCTGTGGCTCGGTATGGAGTTACATTACAACCGGGTGCCTGACCTATAGAAAGGCAGGAGTTTTAGATGGGCTCCGCTCCTCATCCAAGGATGTGATCGCATCCAAATACATGTAATCGATTGGTACCTGCATTTCGGTGTGGGGGCGTTGGTTGACGCTTTGTATTAATTTGGTGTTTACAGCACCGTGGGGTAAGACCGTAAGGTAGTTACCCACGTACTCTAAGCATCTCTGTATTATAGCTGTCAGAAACGAGACATGAATTTGGCTGCGGATTTATGGTTAACAGTAGAATAAAAGGCCTCGTCTCCAGATTCACTCCAGTAGATGAGTAAATTGCTATATAAACCGTATAGAAGTGAAGTTCTCCCGATCGAACAACGGGAAATCAAATTGATCATGTTGTGGTAGACGGAAAGTATTCATCCAGTGTATTAGACTTTCGATAGCAGCAAAGGCGCGATCTAACACAAGACGGAAGCTCGACGTCGAAACGCTGCAAACACAACATGTAGCCGAGGTCTACTCCGCTCAACTTACCCACCTGCTTGACGAAAGCACTCCTTGTCCCGATAATAATATAGAAGCACAAGGGCAAAGAATTAACTACTCCCTACAAATAGCAAGAAATCCATGGTACGATCAGGGGTGTCGTAATGCAACTGATGTGAAAACCCTGCAGAGATAGAGAAGGATACAGACAGCGTGCTGAGGATCAGGAAGGAGCATTTTGAAAACTTCTGGTATCAAATAAAGGCGGTGAAGAAGATACTCCAGAACCAATAAGAGATGACGGTATAGAGTGAATACCACCTAGCTACGATGAGGTCAGAGTAGCAATTAATCGGCCATCTGATTGGCTAGAAGAATGCATAACCAATTATTGGAACCTTAGCATCCTGTGTCCCGTGCACAAAAATGAGACAAGACGATATGTGCCAACTATAGAGGAATAAGTCTCCTTCCCATCGCATATAAAGTGCTATCCAGCGTACTGTGATCAACTGAAGCCAATGGTCAATGACATTATTGGACCATATCAATGTGGCTTCAGACCTGGCAAATCCACCATTGACCAGATTTTCACTCTGCGCCAAATCTTGGAAAAAAACCACGAAAAACATATCGACACATTCCACCTATTTGTCGACTGGCATTCCTGCAAAATTAATTCGGCTATGCAGGATAACTTTAACAGGCACAAGATCAGCAGTTAAAGTCGGAAATGACCTCTCGTAGCCCTTTAATACCGAACGAGAATTCAGACAAGGTGATAGTTTGTCGTGTGACCTTTTTAACATCCTGCTGGAAAAGGTCATACGAGATGCAAAAGTGAACAGAAATGGCACTCTGTACGCCAAACAACACATGGTGCTCAGCTTTGACGATGACATCGACATTATGGGTCGAACATTGAGAGCGGTAACACCTACCTTTGAACATATTGAAAAGGAGTTTGCCAAAGTGGGTATGGCAATAAACGGCGACAGGACCAAGCTGATGGTATTAAAGCGCAAGACGTCCAGTAGACTCGGACCAACTGTTGGACTTGAGAACTACAGCTTTGAGGTAATCAAAGACTTTATATACCTTGGTACCACCATGAATAAAACGAATGACATCAGTTTTGAAATTCGGAGAAGGATAGTGATGGCCAACCCATGCTACTATGGTCTAAGCAAACAACTCAAAAGCAAGACCACCTCCCGCCAGGTGATCTGCAGGGCCGATCTGCGCTGACGGTGAATATCGCCGTCGAATGAACCATGAGTTGTACCAGCTATTCTCAGAAATCGACATTGTTAGACGTATTGAATGGATGAATATGCCCCAGTTTTTTTTATGTTAACTATATAAAGATCCGCTAACGACGTAGCGGGTCTATGCTAGTACATACTTGTAATAAATCGCATATGCCGCTATTAGCATAAAATACTTTTACAACTGTATTTCCACCACTCTTCCAATGCTTTTGAAACTACATCTCTTTAGTTAAGACAAACACCAACCAATGCTTTCATGCACAAAACACAAAATTGTAGCATACTTTAGGGGGCGCGCCAATGTTATGCGTAACATATTTGTATTGCGCATTTCCCCTTCTAATACGGAAATGGCATCCACACCGCAACAGTATAACGTGACTCAGTAGCATCATTATTATATACAGGAGCATCATCATTACCATCACGATAACAACAACAAGAACGCCAACATTAACGAAAATACGAACAAACATCATCGGTAATGTTGGGACAAAAAAATGTTCAAATGAAAGTTTTTTTCTTGCTGCATTTTGTAAAATTTTTCGTGTGTGTGAGTGTGCGTCTGTGTGTCCCTTCGTTGTTGGTTTCGTGTATGTGCCATACTTCGGCATGATTTCTTTGTCACTGTGTGTGTGTGTGTCTCTGGTATGTGTGTGAACAGCATGGTTTCACATGTTTTAAGGCATGGCTTACGACTACAGCATCGTGAACAGTGTTTAGTCTTCGATAACGAGTTCAACGTGCATGCCGTAAAGCGGAGAATATCCCCGAAAAAGAAATTTTTGAAGCAAACACAAAAAGCAACAACAAACAAGCCAACTAACCATTTGAATTTAAAACATCAACAACACCAACAAAGAAAATTGAGATTAAAAAAATATATTTAAAGAAATACACAGTGAGAAAGTATAGAGCACGCAAAACCAAGGAGTCTCAACGTGGAATATTAACGGAAAAAATACAAATTCAAACAAATTGTTTCAAAATTTAAAAAAAAAGTTTAATATTGTGAACAGAAATTTTAAATTGTTCAGCTAAATAACCGGTAAAGCCATTAAGAAATATTAAAAAGAAAAATAAATACACAAAAGCAAATAAAAAGGTGATATTCAAGTGATTCATAAATAAAGAAGAAAAAAGAGAAACAAATCAAAAGCAAAAATATAATCAGTGTTAAAATTTTGCAAAAAAGGAAGAAGAAGACAAAAAATCAGGTGGAAGCAATTGTTT